AGTTTTCTGGCCTATATTTTCGTCTCAGTTTCGCACCCTGCCTCGCTGTCGTCTTCAAAACTCCTCTTCGACATACAGTTGTGTTGATTCAGGTGAAATTAGTATCACTTTTTCCAAGCCAAATTGAATTTCGACTCCTTTGCCGCCTACACCCTGGCAACATCATCTGCATCACCAATTCTGGTGGATGAAAATCATCATAGCCCAATTCATCTTCACACGAGGCTGGGCCGACTTCGTTACAGATGACATATTTACCCAGGCTTCTATGACAGCCAAGTCAGGAGAGGAAGTAAATGAAAGGCTGACTATTGAACCGAAAATCGGTCTACAGGCTCACTACAATGATGATGATGATGATGACTGCATTTTACACAAGTTGTTCTAGCATCTTTATACGCAACTTAAAAACTGTCTTCTTTTGTCGTCCGGAGGTCGAGGAGAGCAAGGCTCTGCGGGATAGGTTGGGAAGCGCAACCGACTCTCTCGCTCTTTGTTGTTGTACCGAGTTCTGATTATAAAATGGCTTGCTACCGCCTCGGACCGGCTCTATCCGAGGTCAAAATGGGTCGGCTCCTGTCCGATGCTGTCTGGGCAAGTCGTCACGGGAGCTCGGAGCCCCGAGTTTCAGTGTTCACCCCGATTTGACTGACCTCGGCCGGTTGAGATCGCCAATCGAGATGGCCGTGATTGGCTGATCCGTGGGCCTCTTGGGTCGGGTCAAACTGCAGCCACGAGTCAATAAAAGAAGTCCTACTCGGTCATGCGAGTCTTTGATGGATCCGGGTCTGGCTGGTAGACAAGTGAGGCTATTCGTTTTCTTCTCTCCAGGTGCACCATTCTGGACTGCAACTGCAACCAAACCCACCGTGGAGGTATCTCCATTTTAGCCCCTACCCTCCTCGGGACACTGGGCATTCTTCAGTCTGGACGAAACGCCGTTTACGATGTCAGATGAATACATTCTCAAAGTGTTTGGCGGAAAGATTCGACGATCGATTCCGCCAGAAGACGATGACGAATTCATTTTGACCAAGTGTCAAGACGACACTTTTGGGGAAGTAAGTCTATGCGAAATTTAGTGGAAACATGAAGCCTTCAAATTCCAGTCTTTTATCCCCTTAAATTAAATAGAGTAAATACACCTCTTAACTAAAAGTGATTGTAAGCCAACATTGGTGTTCAAAAAACGGTCTTTTTTATCCGCCTTGACAGCTAGCTTGATTCGGGTGATTACAAATTGAATTTAGAAAGAGAAATT